ACACACACACAGACAACCTCTCGTCAATATGCGTTTTTCGCATTGCACTGCTGCAAAAAGCGCATAAAAAAGATGTAAAGGTTGTGCCGAAAAGCGCCAGTATTTGCTGAGCAAGAAGAAAATTAACAGCGGAATAAGAAGTGAGTCAGGAAAATAAAATTTTTTTTAAACACAGACAAGGCTAAAATTAAAAAAAAAGATAGTAAACGGGTCGAGAAGTGCTAAAGCGGCGATTCGACAAAAAATCCTGCTCCATTCATGTTACAGCACCGAAGAATGGAGAGAGGTCAATTTTTGTGAGTGGCCAGGCATGAATAAAATTAGTAATTAACTTAAATGTTGCAGTGGTTTCTGGCCTGCTATTGCTTTTGCCCGAAATGCGCCTGAATTACAGAGATCCCCATGCCAACAGTCCGAGTGATCCTCGTGGTATTATTTTGCGCTAATTTTTGTCATTCGGCTATTTGATGCAATGAATGAAAAATCGAATTACTGGAGTGTGAGGAGCGCGACAGTGTAATTCATTCAAAGTACTAGTGCAATAACAAAATCTCAACAAAATAATCGCAAAATTAAAAAGTGGAACTTTTAAAATTTATCAACACATACACCATAAATATTAAAAAAAACACATATAAATTCAAGCACCACAAAAAATTCCCGATTTTTTTTAAAAGACACTCTAGCAAGTTTATAATTTACATTTTTTTCAAGTGGTTGTCAAAAAATTTAAAAACCGGATCTAGAGTTTTCTCGGCACAAAATTCAAAAATCGTGGTGCAGCAAAAAACTCCTTAATATACCCGTATGCATAATTAGTCGCAAAATCAATAAAATACGTGCATGCTAACGAAAATCCAGGATATTACAATTTATTCACAGGCAGATCCGTTTTGCTGGATTTATCGTCCTGCAGGCAAATTTTTCGGAGCTAAAGCATGAATATCAAATGCTAGGTAGAATAGGAGGCGGTGGAGGTGGCATTTTTGTCGAAATTCCGGATATTGGCGATTCTGGCAGTGGTGTTAAAGGTTCGGTTAAAGATGATGGTGAATTGCTGAGATGCTGTGAAAGTGTTAAGGCTATCCTGGATTGCGAGTTTGATACATCAGCGTATTTCTTCTGCAAAAAAATTGGGTACTTCTGCAAAACTTTCAAAAAATTCTGTAAATTTCAAAGATTTTGAAAACCTAAAATTTTCAAGTGAAAAATTTGAAAGAAAAGCTACCTTCTGTTTTCGACCCAAACGGTTATATGCAAATAGTACCAAAATTGCTATGAATAAGACGAACACGACCAGCGCCAAAAAGAGGATTGTCAGTTCGGACAGTTGTGACAAACCGTAGCGAGCGCCAAACAGTAGCGGACAATCGGCGATATTATTTAACCTTAATTGTTTTCTCAAAATTATTTGTTCTTTATTTCAAAAATCATTTCAGATTTTATCAGAAACCAGTTTTTGACTTCTTTTTATTATGTGACAAAGTGTCGCATTTTTTTCGCAAAAGGGGACATGGTGACCAATTTTTCGTAAAAGCACGTATTTTTTTAAGACATTGCTAGTATTAAAAAATTGCAGAAATTTGTAAAAAAACAAAATATCACGTTTGCTTTTTTTTATTCGTCGATTAAGGAAAAAACATCGGGTAGCGCTGAGCTGAGTGTTGTGTTACGAGATTTTGTCGATCTAGGGAAAGTTGAAAACTATGTAGTTGTTGCTAAGGAGGCGAATATAGTCATGAAGCGATATTTGAAGGGCTAGAAACTAGGTGTTTTCTGGATGAGCCCTTATTTTGCTGTCCTAGTTGGTAAAATACAGAAGCTGATGACAAGTTAGATGTATTACTATTATAAATAGCTATACGATGACAACTACCTAAGAAAAAATAGCTTGAATTAAAATTTTAGGTTTGGTCAGAATTTTTTCAAAATAAAAGAACTACTGGTTTGCTGAATTTTGCGCAGTTCCGTAGGAAGGAGCAAAATTTTCATTATTTTGTTAAGAAGGACGGTAATTCAAAATTCAGAACTGAAATACAAGCTGAACAAAAAAAAAATCAAGAAATTAAAATTGCTCTCGTGCCTACAGTGAAAGGACGCGGTTCCTCTGAGAGGGAAGAAACTTTGGCTAAAGTAACTACCGGCTGACAGAATTGTCCATGGGTTCTAAAAAAATTAAGTTGAAATCTGACTAAGTTGAAAAGAAATCATAAATCAAAAACCGAAAATACCTGTAAATGGGTGTTCCAACGGACTGTTCCGGTGTGGCACAACTAGTTTGCTCATAGCGCAATTCACGTCGATGCGCATAGCGCTCCAATATATGACGTTTTAGCTCATCCACGTAACACGTGCAGTCAAACGGATTGCCATGAAGATCTACCTGAAGTATGGCTCTAATGCATTTTCATGAAGTTTTTTATATTTTGCCTCTCTCGAGTATTTTTTGTCTTTTTTCCAGGAACTTTAAGGATATAACTCCGAAATATTTCAAAAAATGCCTTTTTTCGGTGATATAATCATTTGTTAAAGCGTTCGTTGTTCGATAAAATTGCAGTTTTTAGCTCCATTAGCTAGAGAATTTATATGACTCTAGGATACATTTATCCATTTCAAAGGTTCCATGCAAAAATTTTATTGCCAGAATTTATTGAGATTTCTCTGGCAGTTGGTGTGCTGGTCTAATTTTACTGGCGTTTCCGGCATGCATCCGCACTGGATTTACAACTGTACTGGTAATATTTTTTGAAGTTTCCTTGATCATCATTTAATAATTTTTGTAATTTCATTACTGACGTCTTTTAAATCAATCATTATTTGGTTTTGCTTTTAGATTTTTCAGATATTCAGAAAATTTTTATTACGTTATTCATAAAGTTTGAAAACTTAGTTGAAAGATCACCGGCTGCCGGTACGAGTATGCATTTTTTTCGCAGTTCCCCCGCAGGTTTTTTTCGCCTGTGGCACTCTCTTCCCCGCAGATGCTTCTAGCTAAAAGAATTGTGACTGGCCACAACGACAGTTGGAAATTATTACAATGGCTCCCAATCCATGCCCAAACCAGCGCTCTGGATGCTTCAGTTGCGGAGTTATACCAAATTTCACATGTTCGTACGTGAGTAGCAACGTGAGTGTTCTCTTCGCTTGCCGTTACTTAAAGAGGGCCCTAGATGGTACTCAAAAAGTTTCAGTACTCAAGCTCCTCTGGTTGCAGAGTTACGTCAAACTTCACGTGTTCGTAAGTGAGTGGCAATGTGAGTGCTTTATTCGCCCGAGGTTGGTCAAACACGGTCCTGGGCGGCGCTCAGAAAGTTTCAGCACTCCAGCTGCTCTGGCTGCAGAATTATGTCAAATTTCGCGCGTTCGCACATGATCGGCAACGTGAATACTTTCTTTGCCAGCGGTTGCTCAAAAACAGTCCTGGATGAACCTCAAAAAATTTCAGCACTCCAGCCGCTCTGGTTGCAGAGTTACGTCAAGTTTCTCGTGTTCGTATGTGAGTGGCAACGTGAATGCTTCCTTCGCCCGCGGTTGCTCAAAAGCAGTTCTGGGTGAAGCTCAAAAACCTTCAGCACTCCAGCTTCTCTGGATGCGGAGTTACGTCAAATTTCACGTATGTACACGCGAAACGTACGTGAGACGTGAAAGTGATGTGTAAGTCGTTTTTGCGTGCATTTGGTGAAAGGGAATCATCGGTTATGCTCAGTAAGTTCAGGGCCTCTGGCTGGTTCAATTCTAAAGTTACAAAGCACATGCGTGAAATTTTGGCGTGTTCGTAAGTGAGATGCAGAAAAGCTGACAAGTAATTTACTTCCACGGACACAACAGTGGGTGACCAGTAACTCTACAGAATTGCAGCTCTCTGCAGCTTATTGATCACCTTAAATTTGGAGTTGGCCTGATGCCAGTTTAAACTTTGACTTGTGCGTACGTGAGTCCTGAGAGTGCGTGAAGGCTGTATTTGAAATTTTTGGATTAGATGTGGCCAAGGAGCAACTCGGTGAAGATTCAGCTTCCTAGCATGGGCCGTTCCCAAAAACGCTTCCCCGCCAAAAAAAACTTTCGCATGCCCCTACGTGAGAACCACGCGCACCCGAGCGTCCATTTTGAGGATACGAGCCCGCACATATGTGTAGATTAAGTCACCAGATTTTCAGCCTTGTAGCTTTTGTGGATCTCGAGATGAAAACTCGTTAC